TATCTTATTTCGAGCACAAGTGTCACAGGAGGTAACAAAAGCTTTGATGTAGTCATCCATGTGATGCCACCAAAAGTCCCGTGCAACTAGCTCATAGGTTTTCGCAATGCCGAAGTGACCAGCAGTCGGGCTATCGTGGCACGCCATCAGGACCAACCTTCGAGCATCACCTTCAGGAACGTAAAGCTGCTCCCCATGGTACAATAAGCCATCTAAGAACTCGAACTCGTCAAATCGCCGGCAGTCGGGAGTCACTGGGTGTCCAGCCTAAAGATGGGTGAAAATATCGCTGGTGAGGTCATCGAATTGGAGATCATTTCTGATTGCATCCATCAAGGAGGAGTCCTGAGGGGCCAGGGAAATTGCCATAACTTGAAGCCGATCAGGACCGAGGATAACTTGATCCTGTTGATCGAAGGTAGGATTACCAAGCCTAAGACTGAGATAGGAGCGCCTTGAAAGAGCATTAGGAAGGCCTTGAAGCTTTCCAGGTCTGTACTTGATAACAAAGTCAAACCGACTCAAGAATTGTGCCCACCTTGCTTGACGACGGCTCAAAACTCGGGAAGTGGCAAAGTACTCGAGATTTTTGTGATCCGTCCAGACTATTGTTTGATGGTCCGCCCCCTCCAAGAAACGGCGCCACTCTCCAAAGGAATCCACGATGGCAAGGAGCTCCTTGTCGTGGATTTCGTAATTGATTTCTGCAGGCTGGAATTTCCGAGAATGGAAAGCGACTGGATGAAGTTCGTGATCCGCTCCGAGTTGAGACAGCACAGCACCAATGGCAAAGTCGGAGGCGTCAGCCTCGATGAAGAAAGGTTGTGAGGAATCAGCATGGATCAAGACAGGAGCAAAACTGAAGGCCGCCTTGAGTGTGTCGAAGGCCTGCTGGGCAGCAGTAGACCAAGAGAAGGGAACATCCTTGCGAGTGAGATGCGTGAGAGGAAGGACAATGTCAGAGTAGTGATCAATGAATTTGCGGTAGAAGTTGGCGAAGCCAAGGAAAACTTGAACGTCCGACATTGATTGTGGAGGCTCCCATTCGAGAATAGTCTTGACTTTGGCAGGATCCATCGTGATACCCTCAGGAGTGACAATGTACTCAACGAACTCCATAGACTGCTGATCAAACGAGCATTTCTCAAGCTTCGCATATAGGCCGTGTTCTCGCCGCTTCGCTAGCACTTTGCGTACATGTTCGTCGTGCTCCTCCTGAGTTTTTGAGTAGATGAGGATGTCATTGAGGTAGACGATCACCATCTGATCAAGAAACTCCCGAAAGACATCATTCGCCATGTGTTGGAAAACTGCTGGAGCATTTATCAAGCCAAATTGCATGACAGTGTACTCGAAGTGGCCATAGCAGGTTTGGAACGCAGTCTTCCATTCATCACCAGGCCGGATCCGGATCAGGTTGTATGCTCCACGGAGGTCAATCTTGGTGAAGAAGCGGGCACCGCCGAGGCGTTCCAACAGGTCCGAGATCAGGGGCAGCGGATAACGGTTCCGAATAGTCACCTTGTTCAAACCTCGGTAGTCGATGACTAGCCGCAAACTCCCATCCTTCTTCTTGACAAAGAAGACAGGCGCTCCAGCCGGGGACTGCGAATGCTGAATGTAGCCTGAGGCAAGGTTCTCATCCACGTACTCTTTGAGGGCCTTAAGCTCGGACGGGGATAACCCGTAGATAGGCCCCCACGGAGGTGACGCTCCTTCCTGTAAATCAATGGGACAATCATAAGGCCGATGAACAGGCAGTACATTAGCTTTTTTTTTGTCAAACACATCCCCAAAATCATGATACTTCTCAGGAAGACTGACAGGAGAAACATGCAAAGCAAAAAGGAAAAGAGGTTCTTCATGAAGGAGTTCTTTCATAGTGATTGTGGAGATAGGAGGAGGCATACGACTAAATGGAATGATAAGACGAGGATACGGTCCAATGTAAGATGGAAGAGAGGAAAAAGAAGAGAGTGAAAACTTTGTAGAGTCAGGAACAGAGCTCCGATTCCTGATTCGGACTCGATGAACAACAGGGGAAGCCGTGGGAGAGATGAGCTGTAATTCCTTCCAACAGATATGAGGCTGATGTAGTTGGAACCAAGGAAGACCGAGCACCACAGAGGAGGACTTGCTGTTGATGATGTTGAAGGTGATATCGGTGACGGTGGACCCGATGTGTACTCGAATGGGCAACGTTTCCCTAAGTCCAGAAGATGGAGACACAAAATGCCCACTGATGCCTTCAACCCTCAAATCCCGTATGGTAGGAGAAAGAGGAACGTGATGTCGGGCAGCAAAGTCCGTGTCCATGAAGCAGGAAGTTGCACCCGAGTCCAGTAGCGCCAGAGCCTTGAGTCCTGATTGTTCGGTGAAAGAAAGGAGATATGGAACGCGGAAGTTGCGGGAATTGGTGGTGGCTTTGATGAAAGGTGGTGAGGAGCTTGATAAAGAAGAAAAGTGATTTTTATTCGGGGAGTCCAAACAGACAGCTCCTACTCTGTTTGGACAGGGTCGTTTCCCGACTGCAATAGAGGTGGACTTTGAGGCAGAGTGAACTCGAGCAGTCGGGGAGGCTTCTTGGGACATACAGCTGCTTTGTGATTAGGATCAGCACAATAGAGGCAAAGATTATGAGATATTCGACGTTGCTTCTCAGCAGGACTCAACTTCCCTCTAATGAGTCAGGGAGTACTAGAAATATCCATCGGAACCGGAGCAGTAGGTTCAGGAGTATGCCTCGAAGACTCAAGCTGGGATTCCTGAGTCTGGGACGGAAAAACAGCGGCACGGCAACTTTCCTGACGACGTTCAAAGAGACGATTGTCACATCAAACAGCTTTGTTGATGGCGTCCGACAGGTCCTTGGGATCCTCCATGGTGAGCAACAAATCCTTGACACCGTTGTTGAGGCCGAAACGAAATTGGTCAATCAGGGCCCGCTCATCCCACTGAGTGTCCAAAGCAAGGAGTTGGAACTCTGCAGCGTAGATCGAGGCAGGACGAGACCCTTGAGAGAGACGTCTCATCTTTGTGGTAGCAGCCCAAACCCGATCCGTCTCGCCAAAACATGCTTCGAGCTTCTCTTTGAACAATTGAAGATCCATCAGCTCCGGAACCACGACCCCTTTCATGCTCTTCTCCAGAAGAGGAGAAAACCATGATAAGGCTGCACCTTCGAGCAACGTCCGATTTGAGACTCGGGAGTGGGGTACCGTTGATGTTGAAGTGCGAAGATCAACTCCATTTGGTTCAGGAATCCGCGAAGCTCCGAACGCTTGCCTGAAAATTTCGTCGGGAAACTCACCTTCGGTTCAGGAACTTTGCTGGATCCTTGAGCCAAAAGTGAAGCAAGCTCCTGCTGCATGCGAAGAAGGGTCGCCTTCAACTCGGTATTCTCAGACTGGATTTTTGCAAGGACTTCAGCAAAGAAATCAGGATGACTTGGAGACTCCATCGGCAAGAAGAAAGAAAAAAGGGGGAAAAAAGGCAAAGGTAATCAAACAATCAAAACGAGCTAAATCAAAAAATGAAAAAACACAATCTGAATCAAACTGTCAAGACCCCCGACAAGATCAAGACTGGAAAATGCAAAAAGACAAAGAGAAAAAGCTAGTGGAAACAAAGAAGAGGCCTTAGACTGGTGTTGATTCAGATTGTGGAGAAATGGAACAAGGCTAACCTATATATACTATAGGTTGATGAAGCTCCACCACTCTTGGATCGAGGACGGCCTAAATATAGCTGAGGTCGAGGAGGCGCCACATCATCATCAGGAATATGGCTCGAGACTCAGAAATCGGGAAGTGTCTCGAGAGTCAGGAATAGGGAAGTGTCTCGAGAGTCAAGAATGTGGTCTGCAGGTCAGGAATCTGGCGAGAGTCAGGAATGTGGCAAGAATTGGGGGATTCCTGACAAGCACCTCTGCAATTGCTATTGGATACTTCTTCCTCAATCGAGTGGTGTTCCAGCATTCTTGTCCAGAGCGGATTCTTTCAGATAATGGTCCAGTATTTATGGTTGAGGCATTTCATGTTTTGACATTTCGGTTGGGGATACGCCACACTTTCACGAGTGCTTATCATCCACAATCAGACGGTCTGGTGGAATGGCTCGTTAGGACATTCAAAGGGATAATTGCGAAGTATGTGAACTTTCAGCATTCGGATTGGGATGGTTATTTGCCGTCTCTTCGATATGTATATGTCATAGGGGTGTAGAGTTCTGTTTGTGCTTCACCATATAAACGCCTATATGGTCATTATCCAATATTACCAACAGAGCTGGGTTTACCTTTGTGATTGCCACGAGCTGCCGATGACCTAGTATGCATAGGCATACTGGATCATGACATATGTAGTGCTATGCATATAGCTATGCATCATAAAACATCGAGCTTTCCATCTATATTAGTTTTCAACTAAGACACACTTAATTGCATTAATTTTATTTGCATCAATCTTGCCATCTTGAGCTGTAAACTCTAATCTTTTAATCATATAATACATTGCTTCATAAATTAATCTTATTGTTGCACCCTCACGATCAGCAAAATGTAACACCTTCAAAATAAAAGCTATCATAACCAATAAAGTAAAAACATTCTTCCAAAATTAATCATTAAGAATTGTTGTGAGAACATCTTTGGCATCTTTTGTGTTATACCACTTCGATGATTCAAATTCTACACTCACTATGAATCATTGAAGGCACAGCAAAATATCTTCATACTAAAGCTGGCTGACCATAAAAAAAATGTAAGCGAATTAAGTCCCAACCATGTTCATTATGTGGTAGTCACATGACAAGGGCCTTCCATTTTGGTGGAACAAGTCAAGCTCCCACTTGCCTTTATCGGGACATAGAACAGGTAGCTTCCTCTCCTCCTTTCAAACAAGGCGATCAGATTCTTCCAAGTCCTCCCCCTCGAGAGTTGATTGGTAAATGTGTGAAACTGAGGAGTCACTAGTGATCCAAGCAAAATACCTTGCAATGCTATGTCTTCCCTGACAGCCACCACCATTGGGCATGGGAGCTGGAAGCTCTTGAGCCAGGTGGAACACCCAGTGACACAGCGTGCCATCCTTGGAGAAACTATAAGCAAAGATCCCGCCCTCTGTGCTCTCGGTGAAGAAGACGCCATTAATAATGTTGTGGTGTGCAGAGAGCACAACTGCATTGCTTTGGAGCGTAAAAATCCTCACCGCGAAGTCCTTGCAGCTGCAGATGACCCAATTGCCGTCGGGGCTCCAATCGAGGCAAGCGATCGTGTCGTGGCTGCTGGAGAAAGTGTGGAGTACCATGAACTCCTTGAGGCACCCGACCGTCCTCCATACCTGGATGGCAACTGCAAAGAGGAATCCATCGGGGCTAAATCTGGAGCTTAGACACATCATTGCCATTCTCCACAGGCAGCGTCCAGCTCTGTGACAGAGATAGAGATGTGATTGCCGACTGGTGACACCAGCGCAGCGCTCCCACCCACAGCGACATTGGAATTAAGTATTATTAAATCTACTATTAATTGCCAAACTTTGTGGGCTGCTGGATCTGGTCAATTGATGCTGTTAACCTAGTAAATATCACATGCTTCTGAAATATTTTTGTGAGGTTGCCTGAGGTGTGAGTGACACTTGTCTATCTTTCTTGGCCGCGGGATATATTTCTCCAGGGACGCGCAATGCAAGCTTCGCCCCAAACCTGGAACGAGGAACGAGGCTACTTATTGATGGACGTACATGCTTGTTACAGGTGAGAGTTTCTTCCCCTGGTTTCTTTCTTTGTTTTTGCTGAAGCTGTGTTTGTTTGTGCAGAACGATCATGATCCGTCGCGACTGATAGCGGAGACCCCGTGCAAGCTAATGCGCTTTCTAGTGGCGGACGGTAGCCATGTTGACACCGACACACCCTACGCCGAGGTGGAAGTTATGAAAATGTGCATGCCTCTTCTTTCACCGGCTTCCGGCACAATCCACTTCAAGCATTTGGAAGCACAAGCAATGGTGGTACGTGCTACCGTCGGTTTAGTGTTTGTTATCTTGCTTTGTGTGGTTCTGTCCGTGCAGGCCGGCGATTTGATTGCGGTGCTCGACTTGGATGATCCTTCTGCTGTGAGAAAAGCAGTTCCATTTTCGGAAGGATTTCCGGCACTTGGAACTCCAATACCGGTCCCTGGAAAGGTTCATCATCGCTGTGCCTTGATCATTAATGCCTCGAACATGATACTCGCCGGTTACGAACACAACGTGGACGAGGTAAGCTGATCAGTACTTAGTCCATTTGGCTTAAGCTTTACGAGACTTTTTTGTGTGGGTTGTAGGTTGTGCAGACTCTTCTCAGTTGCTTGGACGATCCTCAGCTGCCCGTTCTTCAGTGGCAAGAATGCATTGCAGTACTCGCAAGCCGAATCCCGACCAACTTGAAAGCTCGGGTACAGTGTGGGTTTTTCATTTGAACGAGCACGCAGCTTACTGTGTTCTACACAGCTGGATCTGAAGCTGAAAGAGTACGAAGCCTCGTCTGGTAGCGAGCGAGGAGCTGCAGACTTTCCTGCCAAGGGAGTGCGGGAAGTTTTAGAGGTGAGTTCTTACGTTGTTTTTTTACGAAAGCCACCCTTCTTTGTAGGAATTCCTTGCCTCTGCAACCGATCAAGACAGGGCGACACAAGAAAGGCTTGTGGAGCCCTTGTTAACGCTAGCCAAGTCATACGAGGGGGGGCGCCGGGGTCACGCCTGCAGCATCGTAAAAGCACTCTTTGAGGAGTATTTGCTCGTCGAGGAGCATTTCAGCCAAGGCACCGGTACACAGGTGTGTATCGAGCTTCGCTCTTTTTTGAATCACGAGCTCCAAATTCTTTGCTTTGCAGGCGGACGTCATCGAAAGCCTTCGACACGTCCACAAGAAAGACCTCTGGAAGGTTGTCGATATTGTGCTCTCTCACCAGGTAATGTTTTTCCTCCTAAGAACTAAGAACGCTAAGTAACTGGAGAACACAGGGTATCAAGACTAAGAACGCCTTAATGTTACGCCTTATCGAAGCTCTCGTGTATCCTAACCCCTCCGCATACAGAGACCAACTTGTGCGTTTGGCGGCCTTGAGTGACTCAAACTACACGGAGGTACGTAAACTCCTCCTTGGTTGTGTGTAGTAACGTGGTGGTAATGCAGCTGGCGGTAAAGTCGAGCCTTCTTCTGGAACAATCTAAGTTGAGCGGAATTCGAGCAGATATTGCGCGAAGTCTATCAGAGCTGGGAATGTTTACGGAGGACGAAAACGGCTCAAAGCGATCTGGCAAGAGTGCTATCGACGAGTGAATGGAATACTGGGTTGACGCACCGGTTGCTGTGGAAGATGCTCTTGTGGCGTTGTTTGATCACGGTGACCATGGCGATCACACGTTGCAAAGGCGCGTTATCGAGACTTACATCCGAAGGCTGTATCAGGTACTTATCGTTCCTTGTTCTGTGTGTGTGTTCTTGACAAACTTGTCCGGCCTCGCAGCCATATCTAGTGAAAGGTTCAGTCCGGATGCAATGGCAGCGCTCGGCAATGCTAGCCTCGTGGCAATTCTACGAGGAAGGGCCTCTCCGGGTGGCAACAGCGGCAGAAGAAAGTGAACCAGTCAAATGGCGCGGGGCCATGGCGGTCCTCTCGTCCTTGAACACACTCTCGTCTACTGTTCGGACTGCGCTTGAAGAGTGGTTTGGTGTCACGCAGGAGACCAAGGACTCTAACCATACCCGCCTTGGCAACGTGCTCCATATTGCTCTCGTCGGGAGGAAGAACCAGCTGAGTGCTCATCAAGACAGGTACATGAAGGAGCTTTTGTGCCTGTGGTGTGACACACTTAACACTTTGCAGTGGTGATGAGGGCCAGACGCAAGAAAGAGTCGAGAAGCTCGCCAAGGGACTCAAGGGTGAGACCTTGCGAGGATTGCTGCAAGCTGCCGGAGTTGGAGTTGTGAGCTGCATCATCCAAAGAGACGAAGGCAGGGGTCCAATCCGCCACTGCTTTCACTGGTCTCAGGAGACGAAATCATATGCAGAAGACCCGCTCTACCGTCACGTCGAGGCACCTCTCTCTGGTTTCCTTGAGCTGGTATGTATAGAATCAATCCTCCCTCGTCACCCCGGAGCAACACTTTCCTTCGTTATTGCAGGACAACTTGAAGGAGCTTGGAACGATGAAGTACTCACTGTCACGGGACAGGCAATGGCATCTTTACTCTGTCCAGGAGAAGAAGGGAAAGTCGACGGTGAAGCGCACGTTTCTACGGACTTTCGTGAGGCAAACAAAGACGCTGGACGAGGATGGCACTTTTGAGAGCGTGATCAAGGCGCTCCAAGGCGCTCTGGAAGAGCTGGAAGTCGCAGAAGGAAGAGCCGAGCACGTCCATATGTACCTTTGCGTGCTGAGGCCGCAGGGAGTGAGAAGCCTCGCCTCGTCAATCGTGGTGTGGCTCGAGGCGCTGGTACACAAGATCTACGCTGCTCTTGGAACACGCATGTACCGCCTAGCCGTGCTTGCATGGGAGCTCCGGATGTCTTTGGGTGGCGAAGGCATCTGGAGAGTGGTGGTGTCCAACGCTACTGGTTACACTTGCAAGGTTGAGGTAAAAGTCTTTCTTTGCTCCTCTTGTCTCTTTGATTCACAGCTCTACATCTCTTCTTTCTTTGTGTGCTCGCAGATCTACAGGGAGGTGCGCGATCCTCTCACGAAGCAGACCGTCTATAGCTCGCCGTTTCCAGGTTGTGAGGGGCCGCTCCATGGAGTCCCGTTGTCCAAGCAGTGCAAGCCGCTGGAAGCTCTTGACTCTAGACGGCTGCTGGCCAGGAAGAACGGCACCACCTTTTGCTACGACTTCCCTCTGGTAAGTTGTGCGTGTTTCTAGCTGAGCGACGAACGAGCTTGTGTCAAACCAGGTGTTCGAGGCTGCGCTCAAGCAGTGCTGGAAGGAGTCCGGGATGGAGCTGCCCAAGGACACCACAGCGTTCTGCGCAACCGAGCTCGTGTTTCTTACGGCAAACCAGTCGTGGGACGCCACCCTGGTGGAGACGAACCGGCCCAGCGCCAGCAACGACATTGGAATGGTAGCGTGGCGTCTGGAGCTGTGCACTCCAGAGTACCCTCAGGGCCGCCACCTTGTCGTGGTTTCCAACGACGTAACGCATGCCGCTGGCTCCTTCGGCCCCAAGGAGGACGCCTTCTTCAAGTGCGTCACGGACATGGCGTGCCGGGAGAAGCTCCCTCTCGTCTACCTGGCCGCCAACTCGGGTGCCCGGATCGACGTAGCCGAGGAAGTGAGGAGGAGCTTCCAGGTCGGGTGGCTGGACGACTCTCGCCCAGAGCACGGCTTCCACTACCTCTACCTCCGGCCGGACGACTACGCCAAGCTCGGCGCCTTCGTGAACGCTCACAAGCTGGAGGTGGCGGACGGACATGTGCGCTGGGTGATCGACGATATCATCGGGCAGAAGGACGGGCTCGGCGTGGAGAACCTCTCGGGGAGCGGTGCCATCGCCAGCGCCTACTCCAAGGCATACAGGGAGACCTTCACCTTGACGTACGTCTCCGGCAAGACGGTTGGCATCGGTGCCTACCTTGCTCGTCTGGGAATGCGGTGCATCCAGCGGTTGGACCAGCCGATCATCCTCACGGGCTACTCGGCGCTCAACAAGCTCCTGGGACGAGAAGTGTACAGCTCGCAAATGCAGCTCGGGGGACCCAAGGTGATGGCGACGAACGGCGTCACGCATCTCACTGTGAGCGACGATCTCGAAGGAGTGTCCGCCATCCTCAACTGGCTGAGCTACGTCCCCAGCGTCAAAGGTGGCGGGCTTCCGTCTCGGCCCAGCGACGATCCCCCGGACAGGACAGTGGCCTACGTCCCGGAGAACAGCTGCGATCCTCGTGCCGCGGTGGCCGGAGTTTACAACTCCGAGGGTGGCGGCGGCTGGATGGGCGGTATCTTCGACAAAGGCAGCTTCACCGAGACGCTCGAGGGGTGGGCTCGGACGGTAGTGACAGGGCGTGCTCGGCTCGGGGGGATACCAGTTGGGATCATCGCGGTGGAGACGCAGACGGTCATGCAAGTGATCCCTGCGGACCCCGGACAGCTCGACTCGCAGGAGAGAGTGGTGCCGCAAGCCGGACAGGTCTGGTTCCCGGACTCGGCCTCCAAGACGGCCCAAGCCATGATCGACTTCAACAACGAGGGGCTCCCGCTCTTCATCCTGGCCAACTGGAGAGGCTTCTCGGGTGGCCAAAGAGATCTCTTTGAGGGAGTTTTGCAAGCCGGATCCACCATCGTGGAGCACCTCCGCACGTACCAGCAACCGGTGTTCGTCTACGTGCCTCGGAATGGCGAGCTTCGAGGCGGGGCCTGGGTGGTGGTGGACAGTAAGATCAATCCGGACCAAGTCGAGATGTACGCCGACAGCACGGCTAGAGCCGGGGTGCTCGAGGCCGAGGGAGTAGCCGAGATAAAGTTCCGGAGGGAGCAAATCCTCGACTCCATGAAGCGCTTGGATCCAGTACTGCCACGACTCGAGGATCCAGCAGCGGTGAGAGCTCGCCAGGACAGCCTGATTCCAGTGTACAAGCAGATCGCCCTCCGCTTCATTGATATGCACGACACGGCCTTCCGGCTGGCCGCCAAAGGGATCATCCGGCGGGTGGTGAACTGGGAGTGCTCGAGGTCTTTCTTCTACAACAGGTTGGCGAGGAGGCTGGCCCAAGAATCCGTGATACAACGTGTGCTAGCGGCTGCTGGAAGCGAGTGTAGTCACCGGGACGCGCTGGAGCTGTTGAGGCAGTGGTTCTTGACGTGGAGCAGCAGCAGCACCGGCGATGGGGATGGTTGGGCCGACGATACTCTGGTTGTGGAGTGGCTGGCCAGCAACGAGTCCAGGATCCAACGGGAGCTCCAGCAGCTCAGAGTGCAGAAAGTTTCGAGGCAGATGCTCAGTGATTGTCAAAATCGAAACGACGATCTCGAGGTGCTGCCGCAAGTTATACAGAACCTTGTTGATAAGGTAAGTTTTGTCTACCGTTTCGCTGTGCAGCTCTGATCTCCTCTTCGTCTTGCTCGTGTCAGATGGATCCTGCTGCCAGGCAAGCACTCAAGGAGCAAATTAAAGCAGCACTACTGTAAACTTACTGCTGTTGTCATTCCTTTTCCAAGGCACGGAGGAGCTCAGCAAGGATCCCACCTCCGTTCTGATCACCTACGTGAAATTGTTTGGTTCACATTCAAATAAAGAAAAAATAACTTCACCTGAGTTCTCAAGCCCGAGCGGAGCGTCCGTTATCATACAAGTCCGAGCTTTGTTCCACGCTCTTGCTCTTAGTTGGGGTAACGGAGAAGGTAGTCGTTTTTGGAGGCGGTTTTTGCTGCAAGATAGGGACTTGAGAGCGGGCATGAGCTCCCTGGTCTTCGACTGGATTGTTCTGCCAATGCAAAGCTCCTGTAACAAACCAACTTAGTACATGTTTCCTTCTAACTTGATACATACCAGTAAGAACTCCAAACGAGGTGTCTTCCCCAGATACTGCGCAAGTGCATCTCCAAGGTATGAAAGTGAAACGTTGCAGACAACACCACTGATCGCAGAGACGTCTACGGCCTCCACGCATTTCTGAATCAGCAGCGGCTCGTTCAACCAGCACACCATTGATTGCCTACAGAAATGGCAACAAAAAGCTTCACATCCAGTGAGCCCGTAAAGACCAATCGTACCTCCGGTGTGACATCCACATCGAGATCAGTGGGATCAAAAATAAGGTTGTCCATTGAGTAGATGAGCAGGCCTTCCGTTGTTGCAGCTGCCCAAGACCTGCCAGTTGGAGATATCCTGAGGCACTTGGTGCGTATAATTGGCCTCGCAGCGTTGGTCTGTGCCCCGGGTAGTCCCTGCGCCAACTTGCCTCTAACTTGACCATCGACACCGGCCTGTCATAGTCATCGATCAGATCTATAGGACCCTCCTGCAACGTCACGCCTGCCTCCGTCAATCGGGTCAGAAGTGGATCTGACCATCAAGTGTTGAGCAGGCCAGTTGCTTTCCGTCCGGGCTGTAAACCATGGTGAGCACGTCATGAGTGAAGGTTTCAACCCCTCAAACACATCCCACAGGTGCACGGTTTTGTCCCATGATGACGAAGCCAATATTACCAACAGAGCTGGGTTTACCTTTGTGATTGCCACGAGCTGCCGATGACCTAGTATGCATAGGCATACTGGATCATGACATATGCAGTGCTATGCATATAGCTATGCATCATAAAACATCGAGCTTTCCATCTATATTAGTTTTCAACTAAGACACACTTAATTGCATTAATTTTATTTGCATCAATCTTGCCATCTTGAGCTGTAAACTCTAATCTTTTAATCATATAATACATTGCTTCATAAATTAATCTTATTGTTGCACCCTCACGATCAGCAAAATGTAACACCTTCAAAATAAAAGCTATCATAACCAATAAAGTAAAAACATTCTTCCAAAATTAATCATTAAGAATTGTTGTGAGAACATCTTTGGCATCTTTTGTGTTATACCACTTCGATGATTCAAATTCTACACTCACTATGAATCATTGAAGGCACAGCAAAATATCTTCATACTAAAGCTGGCTGACCATAAAAAAAATGTAAGCGAATTAAGTCCCAACCATGTTCATTATGTGGTAGTCACATGACAAGGGCCTTCCATTTTGGTGGAACAAGTCAAGCTCCCACTTGCCTTTATCGGGACATAGAACAGGTAGCTTCCTCTCCTCCTTTCAAACAAGGCGATCAGATTCTTCCAAGTCCTCCCCCTCGAGAGTTGATTGGTAAATGTGTGAAACTGAGGAGTCACTAGTGATCCAAGCAAAATACCTTGCAATGCTATGTCTTCCCTGACAGCCACCACCATTGGGCATGGGAGCTGGAAGCTCTTGAGCCAGGTGGAACACCCAGTGACACAGCGTGCCATCCTTGGAGAAACTATAAGCAAAGATCCCGCCCTCTGTGCTCTCGGTGAAGAAGACGCCATTAATAATGTTGTGGTGTGCAGAGAGCACAACTGCATTGCTTTGGAGCGTAAAAATCCTCACCGCGAAGTCCTTGCAGCTGCAGATGACCCAATTGCCGTCGGGGCTCCAATCGAGGCAAGCGATCGTGTCGTGGCTGCTGGAGAAAGTGTGGAGTACCATGAACTCCTTGAGGCACCCGACCGTCCTCCATACCTGGATGGCAACTGCAAAGAGGAATCCATCGGGGCTAAATCTGGAGCTTAGACACATCATTGCCATTCTCCACAGGCAGCGTCCAGCTCTGTGACAGAGATAGAGATGTGATTGCCGACTGGTGACACCAGCGCAGCGCTCCCACCCACAGCGACATTGGAATTAAGTATTATTAAATCTACTATTAATTGCCAAACTTTGTGGGCTGCTGGATCTGGTCAATTGATGCTGTTAACCTAGTAAATATCACATGCTTCTGAAATATTTTTGTGAGGTTGCCTGAGGTGTGAGTGACACTTGTCTATTTGCATGGCCTAGAAGGGATAAAAACTCTCCTTTTACTGCAGCTCCTCCCAGCCATGAAATTTCCAAGGGAAGCAGGAGAGGAGGGGCATAGATGGATGCCTATGAGCTCCACTGACCAGTAGAAACAAGGAGAGGGGACTGTGAGCAGCAGGGCTGGCAATGGCATTTGAGCCATGTGGAGGAGGAACCTCCACACGGAGATGGACCCAAGAGCTCCATGGTTTGTGGAGGAGAGGAGGTGACCAACACTGTCAATGGGGTGGTTGGCAACCACCTAGCACCAAAGATGGAGGCCTAGGAGCTCCTAGGATTTGTGGATGGGCATGTTGTGTTTGCCTTGCTCTCATGCACCATCTTTTTTGCAGAAGTTCTCACTTCTTTCCCTAGGGCTAGACTAGCAGTGGAGTGCTATGGCCAGCACTCTGGAGCAATGGAGCACCAAGTGGAGTGCCATGGCTATCCAACAGTGGAGTGCCATGGGAAATTGATTGATTCAGTCTGCTACTAGCACTTAGTTCTCTAGTGGGTATTTACTATTTGAATTTGTGGGTGGAGACTAGGTGCTAGGGAAAAATTGTTGGGGCATAAGCCATGGACAGCAGGTGATAAAAAATGTTGCCTACTGTGGGTCCCCTCTTGCATTGCTTATCAATTTTTTTTAGGCTCTTGGAAAACTTTTGCAAGGGATTGTGTGGGCATGAGAACAACCCCTCTTGGGGTTCCTGTAGGGCATGGTTGAGTTTGCTGGTGATTGTACATGAGATGTTGCTTAGATGGCAAAACCATTGTTTCTTAGCTTGGATACTATGATTAAAATTCATTTTGACTTAAACTTGCCTCAATCAGTTAATATAATTAAGATGACATAGCCTGTCTTACAATTTTTTTCTTTATGTATATGTTTAGTTGATAGATAGAGTTGCCCCTCACCAATTGATAAGTTGTACTGATATATTGATTGGGCAATTACAGCAAGTCTATATGGATTTCTTCTCTCTCAGCATAAGACTTATATTTCAAACGTGAGGTTGATGCTCAAGGAGCTTAGTCTTAATACAAAAAATTAAACACCTATATAAATCTTACAATCATAGATTATCAGATTTTGAAATTTGAATTAATATATTATTAACAATTATATTTTGTATTTTTTTTCTTAGTTTTGCTTGGGTCTGGATAGTAGATTTGTGTTTTTAAAATTTTAGTGTTCCATATTCTAAGAAAAGCACATGGCAAAGTAATAGTTTGCTAACATTAAAATTATTTAAAATTAAATTAATTTATTTCGATTTAAAGTTCAAAGTCTTAAAGTTAAAGTTTCGAATATATTTCGATTTAAGAATAATTATATTTATTCTTATAACTAAAAAAATTATTCTCAGAAATTTTAGTTTTAACTTTTTCTTACTTTGAGTATAAAATTTCTAAAAATATTATTATTTTAAATATATTCATATTCCCAAGTAATACTGCATTTAATATATTTATCAAAAGTATTTAAATAGTAATTCTCCTTTTTCACTTTGGGAATATATTTGATTTCTAAATATGTAGTCTATGCTGTATAGTATTGTGTGTGTATATCTATACATATAAAAATATCATAAATAAATTGTATAAAATTATTTATTTTGTACTCATCCAGCATTTTCTTGGAAATATTAATATCTAGATAATGATCTACAGATTAACTATATAAGTTAAGTGTGGAATGTTTTGTTTACTTAATAGAAGTGTTATTTTTATATATTAATCTAATTGATCAAATAGAAGTTTATAATTATATACATGTTTATAATTTAAAAATAAAATATTAATCTTATTAAATATAAACAGTTAGATGGTAAAATAAACTAGAATATATTAAAAAGTGTTTAAAATTAGTATAAATTATAAATAAAAAATTAAACTAAATGAATAACACAATAAGATTGTAGATTATTCCAGAATACTCACCAATATTATAGATATATCCACTATCACCTCACTCAAATAAATATTCATTGTGATAAGAAGAAATTTTCTATACTATTAATTTTAAATTTTTTAACTTTTTTTTGGTTTGAGATATTTACAAATATAATTGCTTTTGAAGTTTTATTACTTATTTTTATTGAATTGTGTGTGTGTGTGTGTGTTTGTGTCTCTCTCTCTCTCTCTCTCTCTCTCTCTCTATATATATATATATATATATATAAATAAAAACTTAATACAAAAGTTTTTCCATACAATCAAATAAATTGACAAATCATAAGCGCATTAATATTATTTTTGTCCTTGACCACACAATAACGTTCATAATACTAATAAAACTTAAAATGTGTAATTATCAATATGTATGTGACTAACTTGGTGGATTAGCAGCAGATGAACTCCAATATATAAATAAAGTATCTGTAATACACAGTAAATAATTTTGTTATTTCAAGTAGTAATATAACTATAGAACACATTTTGGATGATTATATGTTTTGGTTTCCCACCATATATAATTTGGTGCTTGTTGATTATATATAACTAAATTACAATTATTTTTAATAGTAAAAAATGTTAAATGTAAACAGTTTAATTTTGTACAATATTTGTTTATTGACCACATGACAAGGTTTTTATGTGAATATAAAACTAAATTACCATCTAGCTGAAGAATGAGCTTGCATAAACCATAATAATTTTGGGTATTTTCAGAAATCCATATAAGATGTTTTTCAGAATAAAGTGCCAATCTACAATTT